ATGTACAATATTTACAGGTTCGATGTACATCGAAATTCCTCTTTTCAACAAGTACAATAAACTGGCCCTTTCCTGTAGTGTGCATGTCGGGCAACAACAACAAATGGGATTCGAACTCCCTACCAGTAACCTCTTGGTCCAGAGGCATGGTGGCTAACCACTGGACTGTACATGGATTTCGTGGTGTGAGGTTGAAAACTGCAAAAATGAAAAGTTTAAACTGCTGCGAAAGTTTATGCATAAACAATTGTACCCCCATACAGTGTTTTTTTTTTAAATTTGAAAGAAAAGATATGAAAATTCATTATGTTTTAGAATGTATATCATATTTACTCGCATTAATATGTCTGAGCTATTATTAGTTTTCCATAACGACATTAGAAACGTGAGCTGCGTTTCATCACCGTCCTTTTGTAGAAGTGGGTGGTAACAGGATAGAGCATGATGACCACTTGGAAACTGATTGGACTCCTCATTACTTCCATGTACCAGATGTGACCTCTCCACAAAAAAGGGCAAAGCAATTAGAACCTCGGGATTGTCCAGAAAATTACCTATTGTGATGGTGTATTATCTTTGATAACAAAGAAAAAAGTTGAAGACAATACTACATTTTGTATTATACCTCAGAAATTTCAACTAAATTTTTCTTCATTCTCTTAATGTCAAAAGTGCTCTACGAGTTGCCAGGTAACCAAAAATGGGTTAAACTTAGAGAAGAATACCTGAACATGAGCGACTATGGCCACATTTCACTATGACGCAAGTCCTTTTTTTTACTTTTTTCATGAACTATTGTCTTTTTAACAGGATTTTCCACTGTCTGTTTACAAGACTTGAACACTTTTGTTTGCGATTAGTTTCTCTGTAAGTGGTAATCAAAATGTTGAATACGCTGCTAATTTTTTGCATCCGGCTTTTCTAAAAATGATTTGCTGTCCAGCTTTTCAGGAACTAGAACTTGACCGTTGGTAGCAGTAGCATACATGATACAATTCTTAACTTTCTCCCTGCTAAGTTGTTCTTTTGGCATTAGATCTGTATTGGTTACAGGGCTTGGCAGCAAGGAGAAGGTTAATGTTTTTTGAAGAACCCTTTGGTGAATACAAAAAGTGCAGCAAGCTTCTCTTCCCTCCCCCTCGAAATCTACTGGCTCCCCCCTTACTGGCCTTAGTGCCAGAGGGGGGCAGTGTAACCAGGGGTGGGGGGGAGGTCAATTTGGTCCAACTGTGTCATCAGGTTATAGTGCTATAATGCAATAAAACTATGATTGAATTTCAATATTGGAGCAATTATCATTATGTGGGGTGTGGAGTTTGCATTATCATTAATTCTAGTACTAAGGAATTATCATTATTGTATAAATTCTCCAAGCAAAGGTAAGGCCAGTTTTCAGCTCTTTTTAGACATTTTGTCAGGCTTTCTATTTTGAAGGATCAGGTTCGAACAACTAGGGGCGAATATTACAGTCTTCCCTGGCTCTCGGGACACTGGGAATTGAACCCACACCGAACCTGGGCGGTCAGCTCATAACCCAATGCCCTAACCGCTAGGCCAAAAGGTCCGGATCTGTTAGACGAGTCAGTTGGAAGCACTGTTACACTGTCTTGCCACTGTAGGATCTGGTTGGAGATTACCCAAGCCTATAGCCTGGTATCCAGTCTATCGTGGTTGGGACAGGCTGTCTTTGGGGCTCCAATAGTTTTCCCCTGTCCAGCTCAACAGGCCGGTAGGAGTGTTACGCCTGTAGGAGCTTTGCTAATAGAATTTTGTATGTCAAAAGTTGAACTCCAATTGTGCAAAACCTACCAGGGAACCTAGCTTAGTCAGGCGGGAAAGAGCTCCTGCAGCCTCGAAGAAAATCTTCCCCAGCCGCAATAGACTGTACACCAGGCTAGCTACCAAGCCAACAGTGTAGCCTCCATGCTGAGACTACCACACACCCTCAGCCCATCTGTACTGCCATATTGTCCCGGCCATGGCAGGTGGAGGTACATTGAAGTGACACTGGTATTGTAGAAGGACCAGGGGGGTTCTGACATCAAAGTCTCTCAGCCAGCTGCTGCCTGTCAGACACAAGCTCTCCCCACCACCGCCCTTTCTCTCTAATGTCAAAAGAAGGGTTTCTATGTAGAGTAGGACGAATTTTTAATCGTTCCTTTCTTACAACATGAAAGTGATCCAGTCTGTGGTCAGATTTGTGTTGGGGAGTGAAGGCTTTGTCTGGAGGGTAGATTGATTTTTGATTAAACCCCTTTCTTTTTCGGAATGTTTTATTTCATGTTTAGATGCAGAGTAGCGACAGATGTCATTTTACTTCTGTAGGAAAATTTTGTTATAGCTGAGAGAAAGTTCAAAGATACCGAAGTCATGAATGCTGCAGACCCGTTGTTACTGTCTTGCAATACAGACTTCTAATAATTTTTTTATTGTACCTTTATGCTTACAAAACAAGTACGTGCCATTGAGGTAAAGTAGAAGTAAATTGTCTAGAAGTAGATTGTCTAGTTTCATAATGAATACCGGTACAAATTTTTCTGTTTAAAATGTAAAAACCCGGGAAACTTGTTAAAAATTAAAGAGGATATTTCTAACGTTATATACTGCACAGTCAAGAACAATATGACAATATTGTTAGATTAATTAGAATCTAAATTACATGTTCTCTGCTGCAGAGGAATGTGGTTATTTCTGCCTTTTCAGTGTAACTATTATGTCCCTTTATCAAACCTGTAAGAGTATCAGTGATTACAAACAAATTCACCTCTTTTTGCTCATCACATATACATCAACAGACTTGAATACTGCATAAACTCTTACGATAGAGCACCAAAAGATCACCGCTTCCCAGCCTTACAATTGTGTCCTCTCTATCTCACAGCATGTCTGTGGTGTCTCCTGCTAAGACGGGACCCTCAGTTGACTTTTGTCTCAAGTCAATTGTGAAGAACATCAAAGTTTACAAGCCGGGTCACCATTGTTCTTCTATACATCGTGCTTCACAAAGCTTTTCTAGCGTGCTCACTGAAACATCACGAATTACAGAAGTTTCTCAGTTCTTCCACACATCATCCTGACAGGGCAGTGTCTATAGCTGGTATTATGACAACTTCTTTGATCTTTGGTTTCTTTTTCGACGTCTTTGTTGGGTGACAGAAGTCGTCGCGTGTCTCTTAGGTGGGGGGTAGACTTCAGAGAGATACCTCCAGACAGCCAAGCAGTACAAATGCTGTCTTCTGAGTCTCCATTCCAAGGATGTGTTTAACTTTCAGGCCAAGATATTCCTTCCCAAGCATTGTGTTTTGATCACCAGATTTTTTATGGGAGGCATTTTGAAAAAAATCATAAAAAGCAATGTTCTGATGTAATGGGTCATATCATAATAAACTTCACAGCAGGCAGCAGAAGATAAAATCAGACCGTTACCCTTTTGGCTGCCATGGAAACAGCATCTGAATACCCTTTGAGCTTTGTCTGCTTACCCCCCTCCCCCTCCATGTATGACCTTATCTTCAATAATGTTGGCAATTTAGGCTACCAAAGTGTTCTTGCCAAATGACTACTGAACCAAGTATCTTTCACCAAGTTATTGAACAGTTAGACAAGCATTTGGGACATGTATACATATTTAGAGCCTTTTTGGATCTGAATGGCTCATCAACCAAAAAGGCCATGAATGTCTACATGTCGTAAAAGAGTGACTGAGGTCAAAAAGGCAGTGGCTGTCAACAAGTGATGTATAGTTTGGCATTTCTGAGTTTTGAAATGTATACTTGTTCCAATTCATCATTTTTGACAGATGCAAATGGATTATGAATAGCTTAGATACTTGTGATAGCATTGTGATGATTGCTATTTGTAAGTGCCTTGGGTCATTATAACACAAATAGCCAGTTCGAATCCATTTTTGCAAAGTCCAATATCTCTTACGAAGTATGCATTTGCAGTGGGTTGTCATGATCAGGGCATGGTGTTTGGAAGGCAGAGCCCATCCCTCTCCTTCCACAGCCTTGTACCTCCCCAACCGAAGTCAGGTACCCATTTTACACTTGGATAGAGTGAAGAAAGCCTTTTGCAATAACACAGCATCTAGGAATCAAACGTGCGACTTCTCGATTTCGTCCCTCTGGTCACTCCATCATTTTATACCTGGGTGTATGAGTGATGAGGAAAGTAGTATAAAGTGCCTTTCCCAAAGATACCATGTCTAGCCGGGGATCAAACCCGCAACCTCTTGATCCTGTGTCCGCTAACCTAGCCACTCTGCTATTGGGCGCCGCCAAAGATGCTATCTCTCACTAAATAACTTTCATAATCCATGATATCCATCACACAAACGTTGAGCTGTTGTGTTGACAAGTTGAGTAATGTTCGGTGTGGGGTCTCTGCTTTCCACCTACGCAATACGCATCACTTAATGGAGCATGGATTTTCCCACCGAGCCCATACCTTCCCATGCGAGCGTTCTGATAAGCTATTTAACCCCAGACATCACTTCCGGCGCCCTCTCCACCAGACCAGATCTGTGTTTGTCATTGGTTCCTTAGCGAGTGGCCACAGATAACTACTGACTGTTTGCCATGATGTTGTCTCAATACATGGTAACTGATGACAGCGCATCCTCTTAATGCCTTTGAGCTTGGAGTCTTTTGTGTTCTCATCTCTTTGGTAAGAATTTAAAGGTCAGATTTAAGTGCTGTAAATAAGGTTATATTTTACGGGTGCAGTGAAAATGAGGTTTTAACATTGTTTGAAGTTTGCGGTTGAAACGATGTGGTAGTATAGTGGAACTAGACAACACATTTGCAGTATAATTAATAAGAACAGTCACTCTGAAAAAAACTACAGTGTGAAAGTTTCCACATCAATTTTTTTTTTACAGTAGCAAGTTGCAAATCATGATGCGTCCTGTGTTTGCTATACCTTCCTTCTAGACAGACAATTGCATGTTTGTATTTGAATGAAGTTTAAAACGATTTCTCTATGTTGTTTTCCTACAGGATGTTGATGCAGGTATAGCTGTGGAGCTGACGACTTTGTTAACCAGATAAGTTTCACAGAGGGCACCAAACACTGAAGAGACGCATTTTCCGTTTTTATTTGGTAGGTGAAAATTCCATTCGATATATCGTATATTTTTTAAATCTACACCGTAAAAGGTACAGATTTGTTGCACCAAAGAGCGATTTATAGGCTATAAAGATACAGATTTGTAGTCCGATTGCACACACACATGCCCCCAAAGGTTATTGACCACTTGGGGTAGCCTACTTTGTTTTGATTTTGTCATCAGTACGATGTGCCTTTGCCCACTTTGCAAACTCTGTTACAACTTAAAGGAGGTTTGTGTTCTACATACTCTTGTTGTTGTTTTGCCTTTTAATCTAATATCAGTATATGCTCCACTCTTTCATATTCCTGTATCCTAAAAGCAGGGCTACTTCTCACAACAGATGCTAAGCATCAACCCATCATCCACAAAGACAATAAAACCTTCTGGTCTCTCGCTGTCATAAAGTCGTTTGCAGGCTAGATGTGTCTCAGAGGACCGTGGAATTTGACTCCCGTGTGTTCCATTATCATACGTGTAAATTTGCATTACAATCTTGGTGATGATGTCTGCTATTTGTTATAAAACTGTCATGGGTTTGAGAGATGACTGCAATTTTTGGTTCACTCTGTAGATATGGCAATTTTATATTGTACCATCATTATGAATATGATATGGATAAGTTACATACATGTAAGTGTAGTAAGACACTGTATTACACAATCAACAGCTTTGTTATAGTCCAAAGTCATTAGTTTTTAAGCTCTTGTTTTCATCTTTAGAAGTCTGCAATATGAAAACTACAGGTTCTGAGTAAGCACTTTTGTTTTTTTCCATAAACATAATTTTTCACATACCAAAGGGAGATGAAATATGGATGAATTGCTGGTAAGAGATATTGTTCATGACTAGTTATTGGCAATTTCATCGCTCTTATCATTCCTGTACCTTATTGCTGGAATATTATGAAATTCATTTAAATTCCTTCCCAGATTATGTTAAAGCGGATGCTTTTGAAATGTTGTCATTGGGAGTAAGTAGATTTTTTTTCATCTCTTGTTCCTTGATCATGGAAAAGTGCTTTGAATCTGAAGGAAAAAAGATGAGGAAAACAGGGACTGCATCTGGCAATGCACTGTATATTCATTTACTTTCACAGAGGTTTTAGTTCACGGTAAAAGGAAAAGGAGGTTTTTAAAGTGTTTTGAATATTTGGTAGAAACAATTCTACAGTACTGTGGTCATACGTAATATTCACAAAGTCATGAATTCATGCAGGAGACGTCACCAGGAAAAACACGGAAAATAAAACGTTGTAAAAGTTTCGAGATTCACAGTACCGGTATTTGAAGAACATTTGCTATGACTGGCGATGTTCACGATCTTTAGAAAACTCTGGAATAACAGACATGATCAAGAAGAAAAGCTAGGCCATGTTTGCATTCTTTCCCCTGACCTCACATCATGTAAAACTAGTCCCCCAGCCAACAACAACTATTCCCTTGTTATTCCTCTATTCCATTGTTTTCGATATTTGCTACGAAATTGCGCCCGCAGAACTTCTTGCACCACTCCACCAACTGTCCCCCCAACAATTCCAGGCAACACAAATGTTATTCTGGGAGCCCAGTTTGCTTATGCAGCTCCCTCTGAGCTCAGCACAATAGACTTTCGGCTCTTCTGAAAAAGTCGCAGCTTTGTGGCGAACCACCCAGCCTTAGAAAACTGTGCCTAATGAAGGGAAAAATCAGCTTCATTTCAATTTAGGAGAACTCCTTTGTGGTAATGAGGAGAAATTTCTGTCTCGGAAATGAAACCTTTGCTTAGACGAGAAAGCTTTTTTTAGTTCAGTCTGGCTGTTTTTGCCACAGATAAATTGAAAGATAACATTTTTGGGCACTTTGCCTTGGGAAATTAGTTGGATTAGGCCGTTGCTAGGCTGTAGTGAGATTGTGCATATTGTGGTGGGAAGATGGGAGGGGGGTGGATAATTTCGGTTGTCAGACTTGGACATCAATCATTGTGGGGTTTTGCCACTTGTTTGTAAGGACGGCTTCACTTTGAGGTAATCACTGGGTGATTTGCATGGGAATAATTGTAAAGGCGAAGAGCTGCAGAAATTTCAATAGACTACACATATGCAAGACACGATAGTCAAAGTACTGAAGTTTGAAATCTTCCATCCAAAACCCTGTATTTCTTGTACAAAACTTTGTATTTCTTAATTGTGTACTAAGTGCTTATCTGCAATATTCCAGAAATTTCAATAAGCTACAAATGTACACCGGTATGCAAGACATGACAATAGCAAGTTACCAAGTCATTTTGTCCACTTTACCCTTTTTAGGGATTGTTAAAACCATCCTATCACCAAGGGAATTCATTGAAACACAACTTGCACAGTCAAAATTTGTTTGGTCTTGCTCGGGTGCTTGAAAGGCAACCTCACCAACCCAGTCCCTTGCCACAAGAGAGCTGTTTGTGCCCAAAATAGGTAAGTTGTGTACCGTTGTGTGATTGGCCAACTGTCCAGGTGGTCCCCACAAGTTTACACTGGGCGGGCTCCCGGCCTGTTTGGTCCAAACCTCGCCTCTCTTTGTTCCACCAGTCATAATCTGACTTCTGAGGCCTTCTTGTAACCGCCGTGTCCTGAATACACACCCGACCATGTCGTTCCTCAGCCCTACATGAGGCAGGACAAACCACTTTACGCTTTTCGACAGGTGAAACAACACCTGCAAGGTAAACTGTTTATCCTGGCAGCAGGGAGCAGCTAGACCAACCCTGGTCTGTAATACTCGCCGGGGTTTATCAAGGATTAACTGGTCGCTTCCTAGAAGACCTGCTTCCAGAGTTTTGCAAAGGTTTGTCTTCAGTTTGTCTCTACTGTTTCAGTCTTGTTGTGTGTTCATACCATTTTAGGTTCTGAATTATTCTTCAGGTTATTTGCAAATGGTAGGAATGGACCAAGATGCTTTCATATGTGTTGTACATGTATAATATGTTCTGTAGATGTTGATAGTTGTCCTGGATATGCTGGTAGAAGAAGCTGAATCTTTTACTTAGCAGCCAGTTTCATTTGGGAATCATTTAGAATATACACTCACTGTGTATATGACTGAGTTAGTGAGTATCTTTTTTTTTTTTTTTTTATTTACTTCAGAATTCACCTCAAAACAAGGTTCGTGAGAGCCACTTACATGTTTTGGGTTAGTGAGTATCTATACGCTTAAGAATATACAGAGGGAATACAGAGGGAATTTTTTGTCAAAGTTATGCACCTTAAAGCATATAGCAAAGTATTTCATTCTACTGGTATTTGTCCAGACATGACTTTGGGTAGCCTGGGTGCCCTCCGTTTTTTTTTGGTAGCCGTTACAAATTGGATGGCACCCAGGCTAGACTTTGGGGTCTTCAGTTCCCATATGTTAGGCAACATCTAAAGCCTACCCTTTCAATCACTAAATGTACAGTCAAAACTGACCAAGAAGACCACTCCGGGGATGGAGAAAATCTGGTCTATGTAGGTTGACAGGTGGTCACTATATGGACAGGATTCTTGATGCTTGTGTCAATTGCAATGGGAAATACTATCTAACTTTCTAAGGATACTCAAAAAAAGTGATCACAATGGCTAGGTGGTCCTTATGTAGAGGTGGTCACTTGTACAGGTTTGACTGTATTATAAGCTTTAGTCATATTCAACAGCGATTCCAATTAGCAAAGATCCTAATGAGCAATGGCCCTTAATTAAAACAAAAGTGACTCATCACCAGTAAGTTAGGAGGGCCTGCAAGGGGGGGGGGTCCCGACAACGTTCTACGCTGAATTTGGAAACCTCTTGATTGCGCTTTACGATAAATTCCAAGTGGCTACAACGCATTATGTAGAATTAAAATGGTGAATACGCTCTACGCAAAATAATTAGATCGGTCCGTCTACGCTCTACGTAGAATTAAAACGGCCGATTACGCTCTACGGAAAAGGGCTTGCGGGCTCCCAGTTAGGGATCACGACCGACCCCATGCAAGTGTTATTCAAAGCAATTTTGAGGATTAATCAGGGGGAAAAAGTTGTCTGAAGTGACCGCTTGGTTGGATTTCTGTGTCTCAAGTGTGGGGAAGTCTGGATACACAACATGCAGAGACAGGTGTTATGTATTCATCAGACTTCACCATGAAAAACTGGCCAACTTTGTTCTTCACAGTTTGCACAACAGCTAGAAATGTTATGGAAATACTGGGGATTGGAAGACCTGTATCAGCACTTTTGCCATTTTTTTTCTATCACCCAGCTGGATCTTGTTTTCTTTAAGTAAGTGCAGAGGAAATGTAAAGATCAGAGACAGATGTACATAAAAAGATTTAAGACGTCAGTGAATAGAATTTGTTTCCAGTGTGCTTTAGATGGAAAGCAAGGGGATGTGCCTGGTTCTGCATTGAGCTTATAGAAGCTTGCACACAATATGTATGTTGATGAATTTTTTATACAGTAACATAGAATGGTAAAAGTAACATATGGCTGGAAACTACTGTAAATGCAGAAACTTTTGCAGTGGTTTTATTTTTAGGGTTCTTTATGGTGACCTCTTAATTCTGCAAAATGATAACAACACAAATATGTGTTTTCTAATTAGTTCTTCTGTGCGAAAGAATTGTGTTTTAAACTGTAAACTTCAAAGAACACAGTGAAAACTTCTTTTTCTGTCCTACCACGAAATAAAACCACTGCAAATATAATTGCATTTACAGTAAATGCAAAATATGCTTTGAGATTAATCAAATTGATTTAATTTTACTTCAGGTTTCTTTCACTGTATTTCAGTAAGAAACCATTGAGTGTGTTTTATTGCTGTAACTGAATATGAATTGATGATCACTTCTTCCAGTGCACTATGAAATCTGAGAGTCTGTGAGAACTGTAACTTGAAACCTTCCTAAAAGTGTAAGATGATCCTGACTGTAGCAGGATTGTGTGTATGTGTAGTGGAACCACCTCCTTGTTTCGTCTCAGGCATGAAATCTCTCTCAGTCCTGGGAGAATATGACCACAG